TACTGCTGCCCACTCTGAGCAAATGTTTGTCCAAGACAGGGGAAAAAAAAAATCTGGGATTGTTTGCTCACTGATTACCCAGCCTAATGGTCAGGAAAGAAATTTCGCACTGCCGTGCAGACAGTTCAGAGGAGTGAGAAAGTGCATCAGGTGTCATGAAGACCGGAATTGCAGGGCACTAAAAAATCATGCCGACCACTGCTGTTTGATCGAAATGCCCGCGTGGAGTGGGCTCAGAAGCCTTGCATAGATCACAGGCACGCCAGTTGCTTGTGCCTCGTCAGGACCTCAGTGCCCTTTTCTGCATTAACCCATTCTCATTTTCCATGACAATAATCTGTGACAGTACTCGGTACTGCGGTGGGAATACCCACAGTGGGACACTTCAAAGACAGAGCTAAGCTGCAGTTTTCGGCCATCTATCCTAATGACAACCAAAGAGAGAGAGCACAGTTTTCACACTAACACCCCTCCCTTTTTTCGCTTGTTTCGCGGCCAGGTTTCCTAATGACTGCCAAAGAGGCAGAGTTTTCCGTGTATCATCTCTCAGTTTTTTCACTGTTTCGCCCTGTTCAAATATGGCTAGGGATACGAGCCACACTGTGCCGTTTCTGTTGAATTTGTTGGGGGTTTTTCGGTCGAGAAAAACCTCTGTCCCATATCTAGGCAGTAAGTGATCGGGAAGGGAGGAACTCTGGAACATTTTAAACAGGGACTGAAAATCCTGGAACCCTCTCTGGGCTTCCTGGGAAATCCAATGGTTCCAGGGGCTGCATGTGACGTGTGCAGTATTTGCACACTGTGTGCCTTCTTTTGGAACCTTAGCTCTCAATTACATCAGAGTGTTCGCAAAAAAACTTTTACTCTTGTCAGTTCCGTTACTAGTTCTTACTTCGCTAGAACATTTTGTGAAAACTTTTCAATAACGATCAAAAGATGTTAACAACATTTTTAACCATTTTTGTTTCTATTAGTGGTTTGGAGATATTTATTAATTGATTTGACATGGAGATTATACAAATCAGCTTACCTTTCTGATCCTTCTGCACAACTGACCATTTTACTGAAGCAATATGAATGAAACACCATGCTCAGGGGCACAACAGCAGAGTCCCAGGTGGAGATTTCAACCCTCAATCCCCTGGTTAGGAGCTGATGCCACTTTCTTCTATGGTAAAAATCTAAACTGCATTTTCCAAGTGCTCCTGTAGGCAGGTCTCTCTGCTTAGGCATTCCAACCCCTGACATCCTGGAATCCTGCTGCTCGGTGGCATTATGAATGTGGAGTTCTGTACTGCTCAGGTCCTAGGTACTGAGGAGGGGATGGTGGAAGATGGTGACAGTCAGATCCATATTGCAATGCAGGGTTTGTTGTAGACGTCGGACTTCATTTTAGAGGTTCTTAAGAAGGAAACTTGGTGGGAGTACCACTGATGGTTGATGGTGGGGAGGATATAGCATAGCAATATGTATTCTTACGCTTGTTCATTTTGTGTTTGAAAAAACAAAAATTAAAATAACCCTCAGATCATTAGTAACGTTTGTTCCTGTGGTCTAGAAAACGATATCTCTTCAACATCTGTCGGCCTCCGCAGACAAGACAATGAGGGGCTGAGAAGGAAGAGTGTGAGTGATTTTACACACTACAGGGCATGGGGGGGGGGCACTGGAAACAAGCCTCTTCCATTGCCAAGCAGCACGGTCTCAAAGTGGAAAAGAAATGCTTTTCACTTTCCTGCTATATGACTTGAACAATAAAAAAAATATGTGTTTTTTCCCTCATCTGTTGCACACGTGGCTGCTGTTGTGGTTGTGGAGGTTTTGTTAACCACATCCTATGATACTGGTGAAAATTCAAACAGCAATTTTTAAATAACGTTTAGTAAACAAAAGGACACAGGCGTAACCGTTTTTTGTTTTATTGCTAGCTATGAGGGAGACTTACAGTAAATTGCATGGAGATGAGCCACAGACAGATCACCTGGGCTGTTGCAGGTTGCAGTTGTGGCTGTGTTATGAGTTGTGTTGTATTGTGCAAATATTATGACCACCCTGTACAAGAATGTTTTGGTCTAAATGATTAGTAGAGAATAGATATAATTGAAATGTTTTCCTGAAGAAAAATTGAATTTCATAGTATCCCTAAAGAAGTAAAGGCAGAAGATGTTTTGTGAACCTGCCAGAGCTGTGTCTTATAAGGTTCCCTTTGCAAATGTTTTTCATCATATTTTGACTTTTGTTCAGCACAGCACAGCTAATTCACACAAGAATCACCCTCTGTGCCATCAGAGATATTCATGATGCTCATCTTGTGTTCAAATCTAGACACTTGGTACAATTTTATCTTCTGAAGTCTTTCCTACCATCATACATTAGTGAATTCACTGGGGGTTTTTTTAATGGTTTGTTACAGCCTTTTTGTCAGCTCTGCAAGCGTAATGTCAAGGTATCTGAACGTGTGATTAATGTGCTCTGGTGGGGTGTGTTGGCTGGAGTAAGGAGTTCTGACGCTGTTTTCCCAAACCCAGTGTCATGAATATGGCCCATCGTATAGGCAGGCTTCCAGTCCAGTCAGCACAGGCCTGTGAGGTGAGGTGTCCTGGGGCCCTGGCATACGGGAAGAGGCTGTGGTGTTTTTGCTTGTGTTACGCGAGATCCTGTAGTCTTTGCCTTTTAAAGTCTCAAAGTTCCATTTAAAACTCTTAGTGACCAAACTTCATTCTCTCATGCTCAGAAGGTGATGAGCACTGTAAACTCCATCCCTGCTGCAAAGTGTTGCAGGGAAAGAGGGGTGCTTTGTTTAAGGAATTGGAAAAGGGGTGTGGGAAGGACTCTACTTTATTCCCAGGACTGTCATTCCAACGTCCCTGGGCCACTCTGGGATGGTGGAAGCTGGGAGAGCTGCTGCTCTTGTGGTTTTGGAGGCATTGGTTTCCACATCCTATGATACTGGTGAAAATTCAAGCAGCAATTTTAATTAAAAAATGACACAGTCTTAACCATTTTTGTTGAATTGCTAGTTCACTTTAGGAGAGGGCAAAATGCTTCCCTCTCCTTTAAGATAAGATCACTTTATTGGCCATATACAATTTCTTGTGTTATGAATTTGTCTTTTTGCATATCCCAACTTGCTCTCCATGAGACACACAGACAGGGAGAGAAGCTGGGGGTCAGAGTGCAGGTCAACCCTGGAGCAGCTGGGGTTAAGGGCCTTGCTCAGGGGCTCAATGGAGTCAGATTCCTCTGTCAGCTGCAGGATACGAACCGGCAACCTTCCAGCCACAGGCACAGATTCTTAGCCACAGAGCCACCACTCTGCCCTTTTTAATCCCACAAAGACAGGTAGGAATCGTCTACAGCTGACCAGCTCTGACTGAATCCCCCCTTTTGTCATCTCTGGTGGCATCAAAAGATTCTCATTCAGAAATACCCTGTTCACCCAAAGACCGTAAACCTTGTTTCGAACAGTGATGTCTTCCTGCAATACCCTTTTCTATCCACTTGCAAAGTGCACAGTGCACTAGAAAGACCTCTTCAGAAAAGTATTCAGGTAGGTAGCTGTGGCAGCATGCATAATTGCAAAGAAACAAGTAAAGGTTTATTCCATCCTGAAAAGAGAAGAAAAGAAATGCAACATTTCGGCTGTGGAGCCTTCTTCGGAGGTACAGTAAAGTTCAGTACAGTTTGTGTTACCTTGTTTTAAAAAAATGGAATCAGTCCAGAGCAAAGCAGCTAGGTGCATTCCCAGGCCTGTAATGTAATACATTTTTGCAGACAACTGAATCTCTAGCCTTGCACAGACTAGAATTGAACTATTCGGGTTCAATTAATCACTAATTAGAGATTTGATTCAGCAACTCTGAATATTCAATGGTGTTGATAAAATCAACCCAAGGGACTTGTTCAGGGTTGACAGTGAAACTTGAACCAGGGGACACGGGGACACCTGTAGAAAGCAGAAGTGCATTTAGAATAGAAAACAGGCTATTCTTTACACAAAGAGTTGTGGGAGTCTGGAACAAGAAAGCCTCGTTAAAACTGACACCTTGTGGTCCTTTGTAGAAACAAAGGAAATAAGAAAAGGTTTATTCCAGGCTGAAAAGAGAAGAAAAGAAACAACATTTCAGCTGTGGAGCCTTGTGTTTCTTTTCTTCTCTTTTCAGCATGGAGCCATCAGTTATTAGTAGCCAACTCAGCCTGGTCAGCCGAATACACTCCTCACATTTCTAGTCTTTCTTAAGTGTTTCAGGTCTCCATTCTGCAGTGAGTTAAGTAGAGCTCTCCTGTTTTTCACATTGTTCTTTATTGGAGGAGGGACTTGAGCAAATATCCATATTGATTGTGCTTGAACACCTGGGAGTTATGCGATTAAGTCATTAATAACGGGTGGCATCTCACCTGGGACTGTTTTTTTTTATTTCTGCTTTACACATCAGGATCTGATCTGACCAACTCTTTTTGAAGTAATTTAGGTGACCATACCATAACGTTTGAAAAATCTGATTTAGGAGAAAATAAATCTGGATTTTTAAAAAATTTAATCATGGAGGCTTTGGGGTTGGCAGTTTTTGGACAACACAAACATTCTTTATCAATCCCGCCGCTCTGTTGTTTCAGTTGCAATGTTTAATGTACAGAGCCATTGCATTAGGTGTCCAGTGTCTATTGCTTTAGGTGTCTTGGGTAGATGTATTTCCATACAGCAGGAACTTCAACCAATTATCTTTAACTTAATTAACCATTTAATACGTGTTAAGATGCAGTGGTAGTACGTGTCTGGGCCATATTAACTAGACAAGGGACATTACACTGGGTCCACCACTATACAGAAGAAGAAGGCTATTCACTGATCGGCTAATTGTTAGTGGTGTTTTTTTGTTGGCCAGCTTCTACAATGTGACTTCCTGTTCTGGCATCTTCTTGAATTTATGACAAGGGACAAAACAGCACTTTTCAGTCATACTGCTTGGATTATCAACGTCACCTTGAGAGGCATTGAATCAGCTTTGAGCATTTACTGTTTTATTATTACATAATTTTTAAAAAAAATCACTTCCAGTAGCAAAATTTGTATCACACATAGTGAGTCCAAACAGTTTTATTGTTTGATAAATAAGTAAAAATAAAAATGTAATTTTTTTCAATAAATAAGTATAATAAATATTAGTTCGCAATTTTAACACATACATAGAACAAACAAACAAACAATTATAAGGAAGTACTGCATTGTTCTAACTGTTTTCCCTGGCAATGAATGAGCCAACTCTAGTATGAAGTCCCTGGCAGAGTTGTCACACATTATACAACACAAACCTGTAGCTTCAAAATATATATATATATGCCTCTAACACACCAAAGTTGACATTATTGCATCTCCTTACATTGGCCATAAAATGATTCAATACATGAGAAAAAGCATTACAAGCAGAAACAGTAACTTAAACATTCTAAGTATATGTCAATGCATAAGTTTTGTAATTGTCATCTTTAGGACTATAAATGGCACATATTAATCAGAGGTTGGTCTTGTTCCTATGTCTGTGTGTGTATATATATACACACACAGACAGACTCACGTGGAACATATTGCTTATTCGGTAAAAAAATATAAAGCTTTGTTAAAATGCTACATGCAGAGAAACTCCCAATAATGAATTTTAAAGTGCAGAAAATAGTGGATATTTTCTTTCAAGTTTGTCACATTAATGGTTTCATATCTTAAAAATACTGATATTAAATTTACAGGAAAGAAAAAAAAAGTGTTTTTTTTTTTTTACACAGAAAGCGTGTAAAAACAGGTTAGAAAAACTGGAACCCTGACTCTGTTTGATAAGCTCTGGAAAGAATATGAAAGAACAGAGGTATTTCTTGAATTAAAAACCGCCCTAACAGCTTTATGGTCAGTAACAACTTGTGAACGCTGTGTTGATTTAATAAGATATGCATTTAAATAAGGCATTTTAATGGAAGACCACTTTGATAGAAAAGATAATATATAATTATAAAAATAGAGCTTTGGTTTGCAGTAAGAATGTGTACCAAATATTCACTGAGCAAAAATAATTATAAATATAAATAAAGTGTTTCTGCGCATCATATTCTAATTTTTAATGTATCTTAAAAATAGTATCTCCAAGGTTCGTTTAGATTAGATACTGGAAATGTCTCTTGGGGATTTTTTTTTTTTTTAAACTTGTGCGTTTTAGTCGGAAAGGGACATGCGAGCAAACACCGAGAGCCGCTTGGACCCGATGCTGTCGAAAGTGGGCGACTCCGAACCGCTCATGCTGCCGGAGCTACTGTAACTTTCCCGGTCCGAAAGCGAGTCTTCAGAGGAGAAGCGCTGAAGGTTGGGCAGCGTGATGTAAGGGCTGTTCTGGTCTTCCTTGGCGTTGGCTTTGCCCACGGCGGCCTGGAAGCCGCTGCTGTGTCCGCACACGCAGCACGCGGACTTCTGGGGCTCCACGATGTGGGGGATGCCGTGGATGTCGCTCAGGCTCGGGCGGCTCTGGCAGAACTGGAAGGCGCTCTTCAAGGACGGGCCACCGGCTTCGCTGAAGACCGGCGACAGCAGGTCGGCTGGAGGCGGGGATACAGAGGGCGCCCGGGTGAAGCCCAGGGGGTCCTGCAGAGTCGGGGGAGGGGAGCTCCTGGAGCCGGGGAAACCGCCGAAGCTGACACTTTGGCGGAACAGGCGCGGCTGCTGACCGTCGGGGGCCGGGGACCCCTGCTGCAAAGCGGCGGAGTACGGCTTCTCCTCGTGGATAAAGTGACAGCGCGATCCGTAAGGGCAGTACCCGAAATTGTAGAAGGTGCGGCAAGCCTCCGTTTTGTACTTGGGGTGGCGGTACTGGCCACGGAGTTCTGCCTCTCCGTGGGCGAACTGGCACTTGTTGCCGTATTTGCAGGTCCTGTTCTCCTGGTAGCTGCGACACAGCTCGGTCTTGTAGCGGCTGGAGAGCGCCGAGGCGTTGAGAGGAGGAAAGCCAGGCGGAGGGGGTACCTCGGGGGTCCTGGTTCTGCCCAAACCCTGGATACTGCCCTCCGTCAGGCTCATGGAGCGATCGGACCTGAAAGTGTTCAAGCCCCGAGTCGGCGAGGTTTTACTCCACAGACTGTCTACCGGCCAGCCTTCGATGTCGCTCAGCTGCTCGGAGCTGAAGGCGTCGGTCCTGTAGTGTGTCGCGGAGGGTTGTGTGGAGGTCGACAGGTTGCGACGAAGTGCCATTTGCTTAATTGGTTTCTGACAGAAGGACTCCTCCAAACTCATGTTCAACAAATTCTGTTTATGCGGGGGAACAAAACAAACAACAACTGATAAATACAGCAGGTCTGAAAATATCACATCACAGCAAAAGCGGATGAGCCGAATGTGACGGTCACGCTTGTGTAGTGTCTGCGGTTAAACATACATTTCCATTCACCTGGGGGGGGAAACACGTTTCATGCTGTATGTGCACAAGTTTAAACTTAAAACGCTTTGTTGAAGTCGCGGCTTTGTTACACAACCCATCTCGCTGGAAAGCTGTTAGAAATAATCTTTAACCTTGTCTTTGGGAAAAACCTTTTTAAGACCCCCCAATAAACACTAGTTTAACAAGTTTATCCTGTATACATTGAACCCAGGTAGACGTTAATTCCACGCTGAAAAGGCAATAACACTCCCCCCGACGTTACTTGTAAAAGTCTCCGCCCTTAAAACTTTTTCCCCTATTCGGCCTTGAATTAAACTTCTGCTAGTTCCTTGTGAAGCTCAAGCCCCACACTCCAGCCTGTACAGTTCAAAAGACGAGTTTCTAAAATTACTGAAAGCAACTCAAAACAACAAACGTTTATTCGACTTTACGGTTGAAGCTCATCCACTTGTAGCGTTTCCCGAGTGTAAATGAATGCTGATCCCTTTGAGAATAGCAGTAGTACCCCCACAACTGTTGCTCCTAAGGCTTTTTTTTTTAAGTTCAGTTAACAAAAGAAATACAGTAGACAGAACGGCTTTCTTACCATAAGCGTCTCCTCGGCGAGTACATCAGACATCTTGGGAGAACAAGAGATTGTATTTTGTGCTACCCGGGAAAATAAAAAAAGGAAGATCTGCAGGCTACTTTCCTGTACTGTTGAATAGTACTTTATATGCTGCGCAGTACTTGGAGTTGCGGCTGCGTGGTTTATATATTATCCAGAGTCTCCACCTCCTGCCCGGCACTCCCAGCATCGCATCGCGTCACGTCAAGTCACGTCACTCGGGTTTGTTTGTATTCTGTTGGACAGCTGGACGGACTGTTTCAGTTTCAGCAGAAATTATCAAGAAACTGTATCAATGTGCCTACCTGCGTGGTAGCCGGACAGATACAACAAGGATAGACACACGCAGGGACGTGCGTGCCATGTCTAAAACGATCTCAGTCTGTGGACAGAGGTGTGCTCAGTCCACACAGACTATAACCCCGTTCACATTTGTGAGCAGCAGCAGTTGGGTGTGATTGTTACCGTTTTCAGCCCTTAAAAACCTTCAATAAGCGGCTGGGCCGCAGTGCCAGGAATAATCGATTAATCGCCGTTTCTGCTCTCATCGTTGAAAGAAACCAGTGATTCATGGTTAGGACCCGGGGTGTTTTCTGAGCCGCGATGTGATTTCACGGTTAACTCATTCGTTCTGGGAGGCTCTGTGTCAGTCCTCCGTTTACCAGAAGCGCAGCCCGGCTCTTCCCGGCCGCGGGGAGCCGGCGAGCGAGGTTTTGCTTTCGCCCTCGGTGAACAGGCCCGTGTTAGCTGGGGCGACATTTCCAGTCATGACATGGAAACGGTTTTGTGTCATGTCGTGGCACGGCGAAACCGTCAGCACGATATGAGCGAAACGAAAATATTCGTTTTTACCCGCCCCAAAAAAACCCAGTATTGTCGAAAACATAATTTATGGCCGCCAGAGGGGGTCCGTTTCGTGTTGCTGTAGCCCTACTTGGGGATACCGGTAGTACACGTCTCTATTACTCTTTGGGTGCTTTTGGTTTGTTGGCACGAATACCAGTTATCTGAATTCTGATTAACTGTTTTACCCGTAGAAGTTACTTAATATCTCCACATTGTTAGTGTTTTTGAAAGTTGTAGACAGTTACGGAACCGTCTCTTATATTGTACTGCTTGAATCGCTAAAAAAGTGGATTATTCGGGCAAAAGTAAGCTAATTTAGCTCAGTACTATTATCATCCCTTAATTCCTCTTCAACATTGATGTTTTATTTTCCTGGGAAACTAAATTTAGAATCTCACTTTCTCCTGCGGATAAGAAGTGGATGACTAGCTAAATGTAAAATATATTGCAGAATTTGTCTGCAGTATGTCCACAGGAAAATAACTTTGAACATTAAATGTTTTGTGTGTTTGTGGGGGGGGGGGCTTAGATCAGTAGATCAATAAGACTGACTTATGTCAGTATATCAATCAGATGCATGATACTGTAGCTACTGTATTTGTTATATGTTATTTCACACAGTATAGTATTATTACTGTTACTATTAGTGATGGTAGTGCAAAAGTTTGGGAAGGTTTGAAAATGCTCACAAGAAGGAGTTGGAAAAATAAATATAAAAAGAAAACACCCAAATGAGTGAGAGATGGAGTGTTTTCTTGTGATACTTCTATCATGTCATCAGAAGAAACACTCTTGCAATTTGCTGTCTCATGTAGCCTCAGACACTTGTCATTGTCAGTGTAAATGGCAGCTGTGGATTGCAGTGGTGTTTTCCACTTCTGCTTAAGACTGCCCGGTTGTTAAAGAGGTTAACACTTTGGCTTTTATTGTCACCTATACTGAAATTCCCTTCTTTTCAGAATTTAAAAATAAGCTCTTGTTTCAGTATCTTCATATTGAATTCTTTTTTTATTCCATGTTTCCAGTACCTTGAGTTATTCTTTGGGGAGGATAATGGTCAAAACAATTGCGCTCGTCCAGGTAGAAACATGAAACATTTGATTTGCTATAATAGTTATTTTGATGTCATGACTGCCGTCATGTGTAAACATGTATTTAGCAACATGTGCGCTCAAAGCTTTTATTGGGAAATAAAAATGTCCTCTAAAATGATTTTGAAAAGGGGGATTGAATTAAGACTGTGGTAGATATTTTATCTTCAGTGAAGAGCAACTACAAACTCAAATCAGGCTTTCTGTTTCTCAGCTGTTGCCTGCTGAGTCAGAGTATACGGTCAGCAACAAATTGTTGAAGGGCAAAAGGCAGGTGAGTAAGACTTGATCGTAAGCAGTGTACAAAAATTCCCTCTCTGGTTATTGCACTGGGCTTTTCTGTCATCCCTTGAGCACACTCGTTCACAACATGTCAGCGGCCGCTGCCTTTTCTCAGGAAAGGAAAGCTCCCCTTGTTCCTTAATCTCCCCCTGAGATGCTCTCCTTCCCACAGAGAACTCGCTACTGAAGGAGAAGAAGCCCCCTTTTTTTAAATGTGAAAGTGGCTACTTAGTCCCATATTGCTTTCCCCATTATCTTGCAGAGAAAATGTACAAGCCCACAGTCGCATCTAGGGCAGAGGTGTCAGACATAATCGGTGGAGGATCTAATGTCCTCTGGTTTTGGAGACATGGATCATGTTCCTTTACATCAGGTTTGATGGAGGCGTTTTGAGAAACACCATGTCTGTTTCGTCTTTCAGAGCTCATGTCTGATCATGTCTGATCAAGTAACTTGCAATCAAAATGACATGCATTTTGAAGCTGGACATGCTGATCCTTAAGGTGTTTAACTTTCAAAGATTTGGTTCTGAGTTATCTGACATCAAGTCCCATACACAGTGGGTATAGAAAGTCCCCCCCCCCCCTTTAAAAATGTGTGCCTTGTGTTGTATAACACTCTGAAAATAAAAACAAATTAAATTAAGTTTGTTCCATTTTTTTTTACACACAGTAACCCATATTAGCCAAGTGAAAATACAATTTGAAAACATTCTGAAAATGAATTAATATTACAACAGTAAAATACCTTATTTGGATTAGTGAACACCCCCCTCACAATTGTATTTGTAAACTTGCTCAGGTATAACCAATCACCTTACAGATCACACAACAAACTAACTGGCTCCCACCTGTGATCTGTTGTGGTGATTGTGATTAGTTCAGAATAAAAGCAGTTGTTTCTAGAGGATTCCACTGCTTGGAAGTGCATTTCAAAGCAAAGACACCACTATGGGCAGAACGGTGCTCTCAAAAGAGCTTCAAGATAAAGTTGTGGAAAGGCACAAGTCAGGATATGGTTATAAAAAGATTTCAAAGGCTTTCAGTACCCATGGAGCACAGTCAAGACCATCATTAAGAAGTGGAAGGCGTGTGGCTCCATCCAGACCTTGCTTAGATCAGGCCGATCCTCCAAACCTGATGACTGAGCAAGAAGGAGACTGATCAGAGAGGCTACCAGGAGGCTGATGGCAACTTTGAACAAGCTACAGGCCTTTATGGCAAAGGCTGGTCATTGTCTGCATGTGACAACAGTATCAGAACTGCTCCACGAATCTGGCCTGTATGGGAGGGTGGCAAGAAAAAAGCCACTCCTTAAAAAAAGCCACATCAAGTCTCATTTATGTTTTGCTAAAAATCACCTAAAAGGTTCTCTGGCCAAGTGGCAAAAGGTGCTGTGGTCAGATGAGACCAAAATCAAACTTTTTGGCTGGAATCCATCCAAAGAACACCATTCCTACAGTGAAGCACGCTGGTGGCAGCATCCTGCTGTGGGGCTCTTTCTTTTCCACTGGGACTGGGGCACTTGTCAGGATAGAAGCGAGGATGGATTGTGCAAAATACAGGCAAATTCTCAAAGAAGACCTGCAGCCTTCAGCCAGGAAGTTGAAAATGGGATGATGGTTCACTTTTCAACATGACAATGACCCAAAGCACACCGCCAAAGCCACTGTACAGTGACTGAAGGACAGGAAGGTGAATGTTCTTGAGTGGCCTAGTCAGAGCCCTGACCTCAATCCCATAAAAAATCTTTGGAATGACTTGAAGAGGGCAGTCCATCAACGGTCAGGTGTGCCAAGCCGGTAGAGATGTATCCAAACAGACTAAAGGCTGTTATTCAAGCAAAAGGTGCTTCCATCAAGTATGATCAACCCTGTAATTCCACCGTTTCTTCAGAAATTTAGCTTTCTTTTTTCACTTGGATGTTGCAAGGTACAATTTGTAAATAAAAATGGAAAGTCTGATTTTATTTGTCTTCTTTTTGAGCTTTAGGCCAACAAAAGGTGGACATTTTGAAAGGGGGTGGTGACTTTCCATACCCACTGTATCATTATTAGCATCTCTCCCTGTTGTATTCTTAGAACCCTAAATTACTTGTGCTTTTGGCATTGGTAAAAAGTGTATGGCTAATGTCTGAAACCCCGTGTCTACCTTTCTATAATTCTGTTAAAGAATATTACATGATTTCTTCAGTGGTACTTGGTATTTCCTGAAATGGATGTGATCATCCCTCAAGAAAATAAAAATTGTTCCATAACCATGCTCTTGAGATATGGAGTGCAAAAGGAAAACGCTCTTCCAGTTTCATTTCCGAACTGCATCCGCAGTGTGGGGTGCTCTGGGATAAAGATTGTGCCAGAGCTGGAAACAGAATTTCTTGTAGGAAAGGGTGGGGTCAGAGCTAGCAGATCTCCTAGGCAGGTGCTTGCTCTGGGATCGTACTGCTCTTCTGCATGTGGGGATTTCCTCTGTGTGTCAGGCAAGTGGCAAGTTAGGGCATGAGTACAGTATATTCTTTGTACCACTTTCACATAATTGATTACTTAATAAGTGACTATGGACAGTAGTTCAGTTCAGAAGGAAAAGTGGCTGATTCACAGCCTCACTGACAAGCTTGTTTAATTCTGCTTCATTTAGTTTGGATGTCCTTCATAGTTAAATTCAGGTTTAGGAAGCTGTTAAGGAACTGTTTGCTAATACTTCCATCTGTTTTGTTATTTCTTGTATATATATTTGTTTTTTTATCATACTATAGATTTGCACTTTTATGATCGGCTACCTTTTCATTAAGCATTTCCTCCCAGTACTTAAAATGACTTCGAGAATGAAATAAAATAGTCAGTTTGAGAATGCGTAGGAGCTGATCACAAGGTTATATTTTCAGCAGTTAAATCATGAGGGAAAGTACCTAC